ACCATGAAGGTGGGCTTAGCACTAGTGAGTTCTTTGCCTCTACTCTCACCCTAGACAATCTGGGGCGGGACTCTGTGCCCCCTAACCAGTCACATAGGACAAAATTTATCTATAATCTTGAAGATCACGAATGGTGTGAAAATATGGAGTCTGTTTTATAGTGACTAAGGATGGATGAACTCTATATTAATATAAGGGTCCTTTTTATTAAAAAAAGAGAGGAAAAATTAAAATAAAAAAAAAACCCACAGGAAACTTTTTGTCCTTTTCTCAAAATCAGACCTAGGTGAGATTCAGAATATCGAAATCTTTGAATGGGATCATCTTTGAAATCCTGCAGGAGTGATGGAGAAAACATAAACCCAAGATGGCTGGGTACCAGCCCCTTCAATGAGGGTACGATCTTCCAGGATGGAAACAGCTGCAAGGGCATCAGTAGCTGCAAATCCACTGTTTCATTGGAGAGCTCGGTGGATGGACCTTCTTGGGCACAAGACAAGAAGAAGCAAACAAACAATGGCAATCCAAGATAAGCATTTGTGACACTGCATGCTGTTCAGGATATATGCAGCCCTGTCACCTTTGCAATATGGGCTAAAGGCTTAGCCAGTCTGGGTGCTGTTCAAACCCAGTGCACTCTCTCAGCAATGTCAAAGAGGGAACAGTGCTGGAGTTAATCAACTATTTACACTCTGTCACCAGCCATGTTTCCATATTAAATACCTTGAACGCTGCTGGAAACACTCCCCCCGGCTTACACCTCGTGGGCAAAGGTCTCAGTGCCCTTCCAGCAGTGACCAACTCATGGGTCTCAGATTTTGGTCCTCTGTGAATGGCTGGGCTCAGATCTGTGAAACCCAATATAAAAGTCAAGTCATTTGCTTACACTTGCCAAAAGCTCTGTCATTTTTAGAAGGGGATGCATTCCAGATACTTTGTCTGCGTAATCCTCTGAGGAGAGTTTTTTTAAACTATTTTCAAATCTATGTTAACCCTTAAATCGCTGACAGTTTTCTATAAGGGGAATTTATGATACCGATTGCATTATCTTCCTGTTTCTTTTTCAATACACAACAAATATAAATTTATTCAAGGTTTTCAGTTACCCCACTGCATTTCTTTCATGTCTTCATTCTGGTGCACTGTAATACCATTGAGGACATACAGTGTATTATAAATGAGAAAGAGAGTGAAAGCACTGTGTCTGTATAAAAATACTAGTTGGATACTTCTAGGACAACATGAAGATTTACATAATAATTTTTTCATAATACACGTGACTCAGTGAATATACATATGGAGAGACCCTTTGTTTATGCTCTCTCCAGTTTTTAAAGGTCTGTATATATGATTTGCCATTTAGAACTTGTAGGGGTGGGAGTGTTCTTTAATGTTAAAGAGAGCGAGCGTGTACATGTGTGTGCATGAGGGGGGAGGAAGTAGGAGAGAACATGTCAGTCCCAATCTGCAACTCTTATTTACAATTTTTATTTGCATGAGAGGTCCCTTTGATTTCAATGGAG